TCCTTGTCAGCATGGTACTGTGGCTAGGCCTATGTGGCTTTCTGTGCAGCTTGATGCACTCCAGATATCACAGAGCTTGCTATTCAGTAAGAATAATGAAAATCAATTTATTTGATGAGCCACTTTGGGAAGTTGGCTGTCTGCAACTAAGTCCTAGTAATCTCTGGTTTGGCGTAGGCTTCCTTCTCTGGATCAGTGATGTATCACGCTGGAACTTTTTCATAGGCATTGTTCCCAAAGCCCCTCAAGGTTTGGTTCTGGGTTTGGTATTCTCTCTTGCAACATCCCTCTGTCATTAACATTACTTGGCGCTGTTGTATTTTTGTTTGTTTGTTTTCTCTAGGTAAGTTTGAGGGTTTTTTGAATGAAGTGTGCTGGTTGTGCCTTGACAGCAGAACCTCTCCGGTGGGATCACTGAAACTTTACATTACCAATGGCTTTGAACTGAAGGGTTGATGACTCTTCCTACAGATTTAGCTTCTACAAGTCTTACTTAATATTTATGTATTCTTTAAAGCTATTAGCAGTGTGAGCTATCTTGGCATGGGGCGGCTTGCGGCAAGTGTCCGGGGCTCCCACCAGTGCTTCTGGAATGTTAACATAAGAGCAACTGTGAGGGATAGTGAGCATTGCCCTTGTTGGCATGGATCGCTCTGCAAAATGCCAATGAGATTTGTGTCTGATAAATGTTTATCTAATTTTAAACCAGAGTAGTTTGTTCCACCTCAGAGGAAGGACACAATAGGAGAGCTGGAAGTAAAGCACGAACCAGAGTTCTTCACTGGCCTCAGGGAACCAAGGAGTTTTTTCTAGCTGTGTTAAATAGGTTATTCCTAGAATACATCTGTTCATCATAATGAATTTGTTCCTGCTTTGTAGGCTCCAGGATATGGTAGCTCTGAAGTGGAAGTGGAATTACTGTTTTTGATATTTTATCTTTGACCTTTCAAAAGAATTTTCTCAGAATATCCTGCACTGTCATCCATAGAATGAATGGCATACATGATGCATGATGGTGATTGTGTTTTTTAACCTTGAATTTTTGGTGGTGTTCTTTATTGTGGGCAGTAAATTGGATGTGGAAGTTTGCATCTGGATAGATAGCTTGCTAGCTAGCTAGTCTCCAGTTCAGACAGAGTACATCCCCAAACATTAACTCATATGTCTACTTTTGTTTTCTTTCTGCCACATCATTTATTCTTAAAGTTCTGAAATACAGAACTGATATTGTAGCCTATGTTTTTCTACAAAATGTTCTCCGTAAGTGCAGAATATTTTTCAGAGTATTTAGATAAGATTTGGGTGACAGTGGGGTAAGGGAGAATGGGTCAATTGTATGCACTTGGAGTTTTTTTAGTACATTCTTGATTTAATGCATTGATCCTTAATCTTCATATCTGTACACGGCTTCCTTTCTCTATTGCAAAGGTTTTTTTTGTCCTCCAAGTAGTAGGTGACTGATTTTTCTTTTCCTGGCTACGTGAGCATGTGTGAATCTGCCGGATTACTTGAAGCCAGGTACAGTAACAGATCCACAAAGAGATGTGATTATTGGTCTATGAAATGATTCTTTTATCATATTCTTCTCAGAATGAAAGGGAAGGTCACATAGGTCTCCAGTCTCCAGAAACTATAGACAGAGTTTCATGGAGTTTTCTTTCATAAAACTGCTGTGTAAAATAGATCTGCTTGTATTTAATCACTGCTTGTACTTTAAAAAAAAAAAAAGAAAAAAGAAAAAAGAAAAAAAGAAAAGTTTGAAATCTGCTTTAGATGTTTAGATTCTTGTGGATACTCATTCCCTCAGCTTGTTGCCACTTCAGAGTCTGTGGATTTTATAGTGACAGGACACAGAGCAAACACAGTGTGTAGTGCAGGCTTCATCTAATTCTTTAGACTCAAACGATCTCCCATTGTTAGGTTGCAGTCTCAGGGTAGCCTCAATATTTGCACTTAATAAATTGGTCCTTGACCAAATAATTGGGTGGAGAAAAGGCGTGGAAGTGTGGTGAATGTGAACACAGATAGTATTCAGAAAGAGTTTGGCCTGTTTATGTGAGCCTGTGTTCCAAATGCTACATTTTGCTGCTGGCTACAGAAGAAAAAAGAGGGACTATTAAATGAAGCCAAAGTATACTTTTTTTTTTTTTTTTTTTTGCCTTGGTGTATTGGATGAAAAGAGTTAGTAGAATTTACCTATACTGTGTATTTTCACTTTGTTGAAGAAAACAGATTTCTCTGCCTATTTGCTTGTAACTATTTCTGTCTGGATGTGCTCTCTCCTCACATTTTGGCAAGGCTTTTAAGAATCTCCCTGTTGAAAAAGCCCCTGATATCTGCCTGTCTCTCTGTACCCTTTTAAAGTGAGAAAAACGTGCATGAACGAAGGGGCCTGCAAAACCATCAGTGCTTTAGCTTGCTATAGGCTTTAATGTGATAAATGTTGACTGAGGCCTAATACTTGGAGAGAGGGTTCAGTGGCTGCCCAACTCAAGGGTAGAAGGATTGGGTACATGCTTGCATGTTTAGACATGCTTGTGAGTGGAATGTTCTCTGAATCGTGAAACCGATTGCAATGCACAGTGACTGGATAGACACAGTTGGAGGGCTTGGGAGAGGCCTTATGTGGTATCCACAAAATATGTCTTGCTCTGATACATCTCTCCAGAGGTGGACTTGAGGACAAATCTAACCACCGCATCTGTGAACACCTTCAAAATGCTTAAATAGTTGAGAATGACTTCTTAGACACGCTTGGCTGAAGTAGGGAAGAAGGAGCGGAGGCTACTCAGCTAGCCATGAAACAGTTCAGCGGAGGATGTCAAGAAATCTTTAAACAGCTTTGAGTGTGCCAGGGGCATGTGCTGTTTCTACTGTTGAACTGGGTATGTTGAAATGTGTGTGCTTAAATGCTTTTATCTCTATTGATGCTGCTTGTTACGACAGCTTCTGAGTTCATGTTTACTAATCCTATAGAGAGGGAGTTGTTACTGGGTAGCTGTTGAGATGCTTGACTGCTGGGTGGATGGTATTTGCTTCTGGGATCTTTTGCTTTGTTCCTCCTCTCCCTGCCCCTAGTTCATGGTGAGTGTAATGAAAGAAACAATATCAGTGGCGGTCAAACTTTTGAAAAAGACCTTCATGTACTTGTGATATTCACAGATCTTTCTACACAGCATGATGACTGCTCTGTACCATCTTTCCTTGCTTGTAGAGGTACTGGACCAAATATGTATGCTAAATCTGAATTAGCACCCTTCCTTTTGCGTGCTTTTTTTTCTCCTAGCATCTTAATGCCTTCTTTCTGGGTGGTTTATTTTAACTCCAGGTTGTTTGGAGGGAAAAAAATAGGAACTCTGTAGTTATTTAAGAAATGGAAATAAAATGACCTAATTCAGACAAAATGAATGAAGTTATTGCACCTTTGTAAATGTTGAAGAATTCCATTGCTGTGTAATGGCTGAACCTGTTAACTTATTAAAACAACGTGGAAATGAAAACCTGATCCTGAGCTTTACTTCATATATGCTGGACTGTTGTGTGTGGGCCGTGAGCTTTCTAGAAGTCCATAGAGGTACTAGATTTGTTGCTCTGCTTTGTAAGATTGCCACTTCTGAACAACCCTTTTTTGCCAAAAGTAGATACAATCTGCAAGCCCTCAGCAAGTGCTGAAGTCTCTCCCTGTCTTACCTGTCTTAATCTCTCTGTCCTTCTCTTTCTCTCATTGACTCTTGCTATATCCCTCTGCCCATCTGGTTGTCTCCTTTTTAAATCTTTTCTTCTTGCATCCTGCTCCCTTATCCTTAATTTTTTCTTCCTCTGTCTCTGCCCTACAGCCCATGGCTACAGGAGGTGACTGTTCCCTGCTGGCTGGGAGAATGCTGCACCAGACCTGATCACTGAGGAGAAGGAAGAGTATAGAGGTGCCAAGCCCTGCAACAAACCTCTTGGAAGTTGTGTGCATTAGTGACTTACTTTGCACTTGGCAAGTGGCTGCGCTGTGTGAAGGAGCCTTACGTATTGTGGGGGTCAGGTGGTGGCCTTGTGCTCTGCAAGGGCTGTATCAGTGGAATGGTTCTGGAGAAGCCATGTGTTTGGATGAGAAGAGAGCGGTGATGGGGGACAAGCTGCTCTACACAGGGCCAGTGGTGGCTACAGGACGTGGGATGGGAGGAGGAAGGGAGTGATGGTGGTTGGGCTGCATTAGGTTTGCTGCCTGGGCAACTGTGGATGTTGCAAGCTGAGGGAGAAAAGGGGGAGGGATTGGGGCCATACCTGGGCCATGGGGGGCCCAAGAGTAAGTGTCCTGTGACCAAGGTGGTTAGTGACTTGGGGGTTGGGGTGTGGCTCTAGGACTGATTGGTGGGATTGTGCTGAGTAGGTCTCGGGAAAAGACCCAGTGAGGGGCTTGGTTGTGCTGGAAGTGTGGAACAAGGGCGGAGATGTTCCAGGTTCATAAGTAGGATATGTACTTTGGGAGACCAACAGAATGAATTAAGGCCAGTGGCAGCGCAAAAAGCTCCTGGCCTCGGGTCTCACTTGCTCTGTCTTGCTGGAAAATATTTCCCAAGACTTTTAAATCCCGAGCAATTTAAAACAAATAAAACACCAGAAAAGAAAACCCAAACCAAACTATATTGACCCAGTGAAGGCAGCAGATTAAATATTGGAAGGCTTAGTTCATTTGTTCATTTTGGTTAAATTAGTCATGAACTTGCACAATTTATGTTTTCACATTTTGGATGCTGTCAGTCACGTTAGTTCATTCTGTAATTTGGAAAAGAGGAATTAAGCTGTTTTTCTTTAGCCTGTACTTTATCGCTCAGGGAGGTGCTATTTTTGATCTAATGTAATGCCTTCCTAAAATTCAGTCCAATCTCAGTCCTCTACTGTCTAGTTACAAGAACTTCCAACAGACTGCGAAGTCAGGCTTTACAGGCCAGAGGTGGAGCTAACACGGAGGCTTCTGGATTTTCAAAAGAGAAGGCTGAAAATCAGGTGCTTTGTTTGACATTTTTACTGCCTGTCCTACTTAAGGATTCTGTCCATAGGCACATTTGGTTGGACCCTAGCAGCTTGGTGCTTACAAATGCAGTTCTTTCTGATACAGAGCTGCGCCACTTGCTGTCTAGACCAAATACACGCAATGTTGGAGGAGCTTACTCTTAAGCATTTTTTTTTAAATGCTTTTAAAGTGTTTGAAGGCATATGCCATCCTCACAGGTAACATCTAAAATAAATTAATTTTTTTTGTTTTCCTTTTTTTTTTTCCCTTGGAGCAGTAGTTCAGGGAAACGTAGATACTTTCTTCTATGCCAGTATGTTTCCCATAGCAGTATTCTAGGAATGGCTTCTGTTGTTGATTGCTTACTTGCTTGTTTTAAATACTGAAAGAAACATACTGTTCTTTTTCTTCTGCCTATGTAGAACTCCCTTTGTTTCCTTTGTTTTTTTGAGTTGTACTCTCAAACAGAGTGTTCAGCTGGATCTAGAATAGTTGCCAAAGAATTGCCTGTGGACAAGTTGTGCTGGATTTCCCAGATGGAGGTCATAAGGTTTGTTGCCTCCTTGAGAAGTGTTCTTGTTTTATTCTTATATAGCATTGTGTGTTACTTCTGTACCGAGATATATATTTTAAATTATTATAAGTCCACTATCTGTTTCCCAAAGGTGATGCTGAGAAGCATGCATGGTGATGACTTATGTGTACCTCATGCTTCACATTGATTCTTCCTTTGGGTCAATAGTAAACCAAATCCTTGAAAGTATGACTGGAAATCCCACTATTATTAAAAGGGTTCAACCGTGGTGCCTGTGGTCAGAATTCCCTGCAGCAGATCCTGGCAGCAGTTGGGAATGAAAGAACTGATGACAAGTTGCTGAGTATCAAAACCAATCCAGTGGATATTTACAGGCCTTGGGTGAACGGGATGGAATTTCAGAGTGGTGAGGCCAGGTACAGAAGCTGTTACTACTATATTTCTTCTAAAAAGTAGCTTGGCTGTTTTGCATTGCTCTATTAATCGTTCCGAACCATCCTTGGCTTCACTGCATGCATCTGTCCAATTGATACCAGCTTTTTTCATCACCTCTAGCGCTAAAAAAAAAATACAATATTTTGACACTGGCAAAAAAAAAAAAAAAAGACAACATCAATTTGATTATTTTATTATTTACTTACTTACTGACAGATATTCATGAGCACTCGGCACAGGTTTACTGGGTGTCGAGAAGTTTTCCTCGGTTTTCTTCGTCCTTTTTAAATTTATGTTATTTTCTTCCCCCTCACGCCCCATCTAACTTTCCGTTTTTCCTTTGCTCTCATGAGAAGGGGAAAACGGAGCGCCAGGGCCTGTGGTGCGGATCCGCGTCGATACGCTCGCAGAAGTTTTCGCGGTCTCTGGTGCCCCCACGTGGCCAATCGGTGAAATTGCAGAAGTATATATTTGGCGCCGCAGGCAGCAGGATGCGTTGCTCGCAGGCGCGCGGAAGCGGTCTACGTACGTTCTCTTCGCTCTGTGCAGCAAATCCGCCGATCTTCGTTATACTTATTCCTCCAAGTAGTCGTGCGCATGCTCTAAGAAGCTTACAATAGCATTGTTTCTGTGACGCCCACGCATGTGGGTGAGCGGTCAATTCCTGCTCAGCGATATTTTCCTCTTTTCCAATTCTGAATGCTCGTTGTCAATTTGCTCGGGCGGTTTAACACCTGAGCCCGCCCAAGGAACGTACTACTCTGGCTCGCAGAGGATCCTGCGTTCGTCGCATGCGCAATGAGGAGTCGAGAAAACTGCATGCGTAGGTGTGTACCCGAAAATGCGCAGGCGATATGATAGAATTCGTATACGCATTCATTGTATTTCCAAGAACGTTGCCGCATGCGCAGTGTTGCCGAGAGACTGCTGTCTGAAAACTTGCGCATGCGGAGTACGGTGCCCGGACCAGCTCATGCGTAGTGCGATGCCGAGAGAGGCGCATGCGTACTAGCTTCTCGAGATCGGCGCGTGCGTAGTGCAGTGCCGAGACTCGAGCATGCGCAGTACGCTGCCCGGACTGACGCATGCGTAGTGCCCTTCGGATCTCGCACAGGCGTAGTGCCCTTCGGATCTCGCACAGGCGTAGTGCAGTACCAAGACTGGCGCATGCGTGGTGCGATACAGACACTGGAGAAATGTGGAGTCTGGCTATACGTTGGTACTGATACCTTTTCAGGGTGGCTGGAGGCATTGCCTTCTAGAAGTAACAAGGCAAGTGAGGTAACTAAAGTTTTGTTACAGGAGGTTTTTCCAAGATTTGTGATCCCATCACTAAATTGGTCTGCTCAGTACTAATATAAAAGTGGTTAGAGGGAGTCTATTATACCAATTTTCTCCCGACAGTATGACATTTTCTCCCAGAAATACCACTTTTCTCCCCAAAAATATGACATTTTCTTCCAGATCTGAGGGTCACTGGTGGGCTCTTAGAGTCACTGGGGTGCTCTGAAAAGCACTGGGGGGTCCTGCAGGTCTCTGAGAGGCCCTAAGGAGCACTGGGGATCCCTGAAAGGCTCTGAGGTGCAGCATAGTGCACTGGGGGGCTTTGGGAGGCTCTGAGGGGCCCTGGGCAGCACTCGGGGGGCACTGAGGGAGTCTTGAGGCATAAAGGGGTTAAATCGTAGGAAAAAAATAAATGAATAGAATGTAAGCAAAGATAAGGGAAGTTGCAAATATGTGAGGGTTGTAAGAGTGAATAGAATGTAGGTGGAGATGAGAGAACTTGCAAACATGTGGGTGTTGTAAAAGTACAATAAGGAGCCTGACAGCTAAAGGACTGTAAGCAGGGACGAGATAGCCATAAAGCAAGCAGAAACTGATTAGGGGGAGCCCCCCCTCAGGCAGGTTAAAAGTTGACAGTGAGAAAGACTACGAGCCTTCATCCACTGACTGCCAGGAGAAGCCCCCTACAGTTTATAGTGCAGGCACAAGGAGGAAGGACTGTATGCAGAGGAGTTCTTGGAAATATAATGAATGTGTATACAAATTCCAGGAAATCTGTTGAATGTGTGTGAGCTTGGCCTAAATACGTAATGAGCTTTTGCTTACACACCAACAAGTTAGGAGGAACGATCCCCCTTGCACCCAGCCTGTGAGCAGCTCTGAATAAATCATACCTGCTGTGTATCCTCATTTGGCTTATGAAGTTTGATTCTGCATATCAGTCTGAGGGGCACTGCGGTGCTGCCACCCCCCCACCCCCCATCTCCTTTAAGCCAGACCACTTTCTCCTTGTGGAGCTTTGGGGCTCCCCTCCTTTCCTTCCCACCCTCCTATCACTTCCCCAGCATGTTTTCCTGGCTGTATTCTCTTATTCTCATTGTTTCTCACCCTTTAGGTGCTGCTTTTCATTCCAGAATATCCAACCTTATGAAGGAAATGAGGTTCGTCACAGAGCATCTTTGGCTATGAGCTTTCTATTTCAGTCAGGTGGGTCCCAAAGCAGACCTGTTGGTAGAGGTGTTAGAGAAGAAGATGGAAGCACTGCACATCTCATTAGGGAAGAAGTGAATTAAATACATTGGTTGATTCTCAAGATGGTAATTTGAGCCATGGAAGCAGCAGTGGACTTTAATAGCCTTCAATACTCCCTACACAGAGGTATTCCTGAAGGGCTCTAATGGATGAGGTGCACCCTGCTGTGACCACAGCCCAGTTGCAGGGTGCACAATTAACAAACATACAGTTTGCAGAGTAGCATAGTTAGAACAGTATTTTACAGATTTTATATTTAAAAAGATTACTGCGACAGTAAGTAATCAACAGTCAAAAGCAACAATCAAAAATAAATGAAATGCCCACTCGTGTCCTAGGCTTACAGTAGAAAACACTAAAGGGAGGGATCTCCAGAAAGAGACTGTCACAGAGTTATCTCTAGATCTGAGTCTGTGATGGGGGCACAAACCCAGGTGTGGTAGTGAGGGTCTGGCGCCCGGAAGATATCGCGTTGTACGGGAAGACAGGGTCCCCCTCCCGATAGCCAATAGCGTTCAGTGCCCAGGTTATATAAGGCTGTTTTTCCTGCCAATAAACGCCATTTGCTGTCCACCACATTGGTGTCAGCGAGCCGATGGACCGAGCGACCTGGGATTGGTCGCCGTGCCGTTCCCGAACCAGGTCGCCACGCCTACGATAGGCAACAAGTGGTGCCGAAACCCGGGATTGTCGCCTGGACGGGTGAACGGCGGCCGGAGCGGCAGGACCAGCCCGGCGGGGAGGGCGCTCCCGGACCAACAAGGAGGATGGAAGTCCTTGTGAAGGTCGTATCGCAGTTAGATAAGCAGTG